GCTGAGCCGTCAAAACTAAGGAACATTTATGATCAGGCTGAGTGAGTGACATTTATAATCAGGCAGAGTGAGACGGATTGCAAAACTATTTGAACATATCGAACTGTGCTTATTTTTAAGAGTGACAACCATTTAGCAAAACAGGGTTCTGGTTTTAAAACCACAATAATGTGAACGGCTGCTGCTCTTCCTCTTCTGCCTCAGCTGCCAACGGTAACCATTACAACTCCACATGGAATAACCTCGTTTTGGTAATAATATATTTTAAAATAAATGTTGACTATCTGCTTCTGTTATTGTCATTACTATTTAAGCAGGAGCAAGGTGCCATTAAATCTCGCTTAAGATGCTATGGAGGCTTTACTTGATGATGGCTTCATGTATTAATTGTAAAATATTCTCAGAATCCTGACCATGTTGAAATCAAGATTTGTTGCTGTGTTTCTGCTCTATTTTATTAATTCCCAAGTCCGAAAGACTGGCACAGTATGGATTTAAACTTAAGCTTTGTATTATCTAGCCACCATTTCTTGATCCTGTTCTACCTCCTTGTTTAGCCTTGATCGTATACTACATTATTTCAACCGAGTATCGCAATGAAAAGATTAAAAGTGCAGACAACCACTTCTTTCCCTGCAGGTCATTTACTCCTGTACTGCCTAACCGCACCTTCCTTTTATGATGCCTGCTAAAACAATCCAGTTATCCAATGGTCAAAAATATTGAAAGGTTTTAAGATTATTCTGATTTTTCAAAGCCAATAAAGTAAACGTTAATAAAACCTCTCCACAGTTTTGAATTGCATTTATTTATTTTTTTGCAAAAGTTGCTGGAAAGCCTTCAGATAGCCAGAGTTTTAGAAATGTATTATCAGAGTAGGAATCCATTAGCATTTGACCTCCGCAAATAATTAACAGAGATTTCATTCATCTCGTTCAGAAGTTGTTACCAGGTGACTGAGCTGGAGCATGATGTAGAGCAAGCTGCTGGGCTGCTAGATTTGACAGGGATTACACAGACTAAATCAGTCAGGAAGATGGGATTGCTGGATTTCTCTCAGATATAAAACACTGTGCATGTGGCATGTCACGTGTGTGTGCGTGCGTGTGTGCTTTGTGTGTGTGTGTGTATTATTCAGCTTGTCCCACCAGAACGCCGTATTCTGCACCACTCTTGGTAATCATTCCCATACAGTAGTCATAAGTGTGCATCCTGTGTTTCCTTTAATTTATTTGTTATTATTATAAAAGTGGATTTTCCAGGATAAACAAGCACATTAACTTTAGAACAATTGTACTGTTCACCGTTACTTCATGCTCTCCAGGAGCACTGGTATCATTTTAAAACAAAATATGTAAGAAAGATATGGCAGAACAACATATCCTGTGTACAGTTGAATGCTCAAACACCAAACAGCCACCCCCACCCCACCTAAAATTTTGAAAAAGATCATGTTGCTCATAAATGGTGGTTTCACTTCAAGCCATATAACAGAATGTACTGTACATTCTGGTCCTAAATAACAGCCTGAACCACCATCCCTGAACAAGGGTTTCATTGATACTCCTGCTGTGTTTTTTTTGTAACTAAAAGTCACAGGGGATTAATGCCACTCTATATAATATTAAAAAGATTCTAATTGAGGCTTAGCAAACCTCTGCACACAAGCACATGCTACATACAGATTGAATCATTTTTCCTACTTCTGTGTTTGCAGACACTACCAAATGGCTACATAAAATGGAGAGGACAGAAACTATCAGGAAAATAGCTGCTGTCTAACTATGCAAAGAAGTGAATTCTCTCGGATCGAGAATACAAAAAACCTACCATAGATAATTAATTAATTTTCCTTGTAGCCATTCTTTATCAGCACCAGCAAAGTGGAAGCGGATTAAAGAACGATGCACATTGATATTGCCGTTGTTGGTTTTGGGATAATAGTTGTAATAGTAATAGCTGCCCTACCACCGGGAGCACGACTAATAAAAATAATCAGCTCAGTGTCTTGTTCTACATTTTTTTTTACATTTTTAAAACATCCTGCATTCACACCCCTGTTATTCTGCAGACTAAGGCTGTAACTGCAGACTGATCTCATTTCCCTGGCACTCCATGACTATGACAACGGCCACTTCAGCTCATCTAGCAGAAAACTCCCAATTGCTTATCTTAGTAATAACATAAAAGTATGTTAAAATTTGATTAACTGTGATAATAGCCATGTGTTAGCGTACACAAAGTACGCTTCAAAGACCTTCTGTAACACATTTTGCACTGTGAGAATAATAGAGAGAGGTGATAGTGTGTGTGGGGAGGGTGACACCTGCTCTGGCTTTTGCACATTGTTGTAGCCTGATAATGCAATGCCATGCATTACTCCACTATCCTGCATCCTGACGGAGGTTTCAAATAAAACATGCAAGTCTGAGTCTCTTGGTATTTCAAGCAACGGGTCAGTATTATTTTTGTTCTCCCAGTGACCCTCGTCTGCATTTGTTCCACACTATACGCCACAAATTCTTTCTAGCATGATCATAAATAAGATTGGAGTCTAAATTAATGTTAGCATTGGAACTAGGAGTTTGTATTGGTGCACTGCAGGACACTGGATTGCATTGCTACTTATAGCTTGTGTGACGATTGTGAGCCTGCTTCATTGCTGATCTAACGATGCTACTAAATTTCTATTACAAAAATATATGGGAGTGTTTTTCCCTAATTGGATTGCAGTTGAAAGAAAAAACAGTTGTTGGACAGGAATGTTACCCTGGCATGCTTCCTTCCATTGCCATGGTCTTATGACTAACACAGTCCCTTTGGCCAATTGAAGCCACATTAAACAATTATTTAAATGTTTATAAGATGCTGCACAATAATATGATGCAAATAAATGTAAAATGCAACTTTTGTGCTCCAGTGCAAACGGGCAGTAAGATACTGATGAGACAAAATATATTTTCTAAAAGGCCCCCGATGTTTGTCACATATCCTGCAATTAACGTAGCACGAATTGACAAAAGGTTAAAAGTAAAGGACAGAAGACACAATAATTCTACATTTAAAGAAATCCTTAATTAAATTACCTTTATGAATCTGGAGGCATGTTGTGCAGTTCATTATCATGTACACTAATTTATTGATGTTTGTATTGCAAACAATATCGAATGTTAACGGTTACAAATTCAAGCCCACGAACGTACCATTTTGCATTTGTAGATTTTAGTGCTGAAATCGACAGAGATCTGATGTTATGTGGCATTTTTGTGGCTGTTCAGTTCCCCCCAAGTAGAAACCTTTTCAATCTGTCTAAACATGTCTGAAGAGCTTTTACAGGGCTTTGCACCAATGTAGCCGCACCACTAATTATGAAGCAAAGGCATGCTAATTACACAGAGCTTCAGCTAATGTAAAGATCTGCTTTAAACACCCACGCATGCTGCTGAGCTATTTCCTCTACCCATGGAACTTGCTGTCTTTGGTATGAACACCAGGCAGCTAGTTTTATGAGGAAACTATACACAAATCACCTGAAGAGTAACTACCTCTTTCTTACAGTAAAAATACTAAAAGAAATTGAAACCTGAGGTTGCTACGCAACATCACTGTAGCAGTTCCTGTGGCAAATATGTTGGCTGAATACTTCTAATTACTAAAAAAAATCTTCTGTCTTTTATATGAGTGACTTTATGTTGGCATGTGTTCTGTCTAACTTTATTTTTCTGTTTACCTCCCTCTAATTGTTCCACCTCCCCTTCTGAAGACTTTGAATTTTCCTGGAGCAGATTCTTAACTACTGGTACCTTTCCTCTTTCCCCAGTACCTCACTCAAGTGGCTGTTCTTCATGTGTAATCCAGAAGCTGAGTGTCAGCAGGTTGTTTAGTTAACGGATCATCTCAGTCAAGCCCAATCCTGTCCTCACCCAATGTCCACATGTGCACTTTCCAGTACGAATCACAAACTGGCTGTATCTTCTCCTTGCAATTCTCCTTCTCAATTGCACTCAAGCCAACTTTAGCAGCCCAAATACCAACCTGGCTGAGATTAACTAATTGAAAATCAAGACTGAGACCTTTCACATTTCTAAAATTCAGTTGCACAACAGGTTGAGAGCCATTGAGAAGAGCCTCCTTTGTCTACTTCCAATGTCATAAAGCAGAAATGTGCCTGCATACAGACAGTCACTACATTCAACAGCAATTACAGTAAAGTGCTTTTGGAGGTTTCAACACAATAAGATACTATAAAAATGCAAGGTCTTTCTTACTCTCCCTTATTACAAAATATATTAATTAGTAAAATTGCTCACAGACAGAGAAATTAGCATAATATGTTCGCAGTCACGAGGTGATGCATGAGGAAGTGCTACACATTACAGCTGGAACTTGAAGCACTCTGCAACTGTACTTAAAATTATATTACACTTATGCTCTGCTTTCAGGAATTCTGAATGCGCAAGACTGGATAGTCACCTTGCCGTTCTTGTTATGTTAACAACAGTGAAACCTCTTTAACTGCTCTTCAGTTGGTCACCCTCTTCTTTCTATTGGCAGTAACTAACTGTTATTATCAGAGGCCAAAACCCTACAATAAATAATCTGAGACAATAGTCAATTGGACTCCATCATAACTCACGGCACAATGCATTTATTCCATGCTGTTTTTATTCAGTTCGAGAAAAATATAAACTTATAATCGAATCTCGGACTTATATAACATTTGTATGTGCTCGAGCACAATAGATTAGCATCCAAGTAACTCGTTGCTTTGGCAACATATAAGTCAAGTTGGATAAAAGGCTTTATACAGAGCACTATGAAAGCGCCAGTTTTTCAGCAATCCCATCCTACATGAGTGTGGAATAAAGCTTCCATATCTTCTATTTCATTTGCTTTAGCCTGCCATGGGAATCACAGCTCTTTATTACAATTTGGCAGCTTTTACGGTCTTGAATGCAACTAATCATTATCACTAATGCACATGTCAGGGCAAATCTTACCTCGACAATATCTGAATTTGTTCGACTCTCATGCGGCTCGTTGTACTCTGTATATTTCAGAAGCACTTTGTCCATATCAGTGCTGGCATACTGGAACAATTTGTTTGTGCTGTTAAAGATGATTAGAGCAATCTCACAGTCGCACAGAACACTTAGCTCATAGGCCTTCTTCATTAACCCAAACTTCCTCTTTGTAAATGTCACCTGCAAGAGACAGAAAAGCACATTAAAGACCAAGAATTATAGTCTAAAGTGGTCAATGTTATCACTGTTCAGCTAGGATCCTCGAGATGTGAAGAGCTGCAGAGGGTTGGCTTAATTACATGTTTCAGAAAAGTTCAGGAAAATCAGAAGGCTGTGGGTTTGAGCCCCACATCAAGATTTCAGTTCTTAATATAGACTGACTCCATGTGCAGTACTGAGGGGGTGCTGCATTGTTTTTGAAGTGTCATCCTTCTGATGTGACATTACAATTAATATTCATTCCTGAACCAAATTCCCCATGCAGCAGATTCATTTGTTCATCTCCTTGTATTGGTGGGAACATACTGATGTGGATTAGCTGTCACGTTTGCTTATGTAACAACAGTCACTATGATTCAAAGTAACTTGTTCCAAGAAGCACTTTCTGAGATGTTTTAATGTGTTAAAGCACAATACCAAATGCAAGTATTATAATTACAATTACAACTGTTACATACTGCTGCAATGAGTCCAGCAACGAGGGTTACCGAGCATAATACTACAAATGTTCACACAGCAATTGATCTCCTGTCCATTCCCACTGGTGAGAAGAGGTGGGCTCTTTCACGAATGCAGATGTCATTGTTTATCTATTTCTCTCTTACTGTTGGGGCTGTTATAAGCAACATTCATGACAATGGCCAAAAACCTGTAATGTCTAGTATTGGTTGTAACTTGTGCTGTTCCCCAGTGACTGTTGCTTATGGAATATCAAGAAGAACAAATGTGTATTGAGTGAGAGGAGAAAATTTGTCTTGGATCCAGCTCAATTCAACCTGCTGTGAGAGACTCGTAGAGTATATTTCAGACTAACTATTTTTGTGATCCCATTCATCATCTTCAGATAACATCTGTACATTCCTTGCCTGTATGTTGTGTGTTTAGCTATCAATATTATTTGTTTTTTAGCAGGCGCATCTGACAATGTTATCCAGTGTAAATTAACCACTGGTCTGACGGGAAATATGTCTGGACGGTTGTACTTCATGCAATTAAAATCAGGTTGTTTGGAAATCAGTAGTCAGCTTTGGTCTTGGCCAGCTATTGTCTAGATTAATTGGCTCTTCACTTCATTGTGTTTTTGGGACACAGATGTGCATAACATGGTTGCCCCGTGTACTTGCAAAAAGCATTTCCTACACAAGACAGCGGTTGCTGTGAAGTGTCTCGAGATGTTTTGACATATGTGTACAAAAAGCTCTTCTTCTAATCTGATGTTTTTCATGTTTGTGGTCCAAAATTGAGGAGAAAAAAAACAGAACAAATGGCTGAATAGACTGAGGCCCATATGATGCTCCTGTGGCCTTTATACACGTGGACGAAAGTTAAATATATGGGCTGTTTCCAAGTATTTTGTGCTTGTTGTCCAGTCTGACCACAGCACAACAGCTATTTAATACATTTGACCATGTATTAAAACAACAACTTTAAAGCAAAATCCAATTCTAGATCTGGAATTGTTTTTATAAAAAAAAATTAAAAATCATACTTTCTCATTTGACTCCGAACAGATCACTGCACCCAAGAGTTTTCTTGCTGTCATCTTTGTAAAATTGCAACAAATCACACACACAGGCTCGCTCACACTTCCAAGCCTCCCACTAATTGGCAGAAATTAACTCATGTCTGCTTCATGTTTCTTGTTACATACTTTTTTTTTACATAAGAGTTAACTAATCAGGAGAATAGTTATTGGATCACATTCTAATTAGGTGTACAATGGGTTTCATTCTGCACTTGATGCACATAATGAACTAATTTGAATGGTGTACCAGTCAAAACATTTCTTAATGCTGGACATTGTGATACCATAAAGTGAACAAATTGAAGGGACCTTCAAATCACTAAAGTTGCACAATTGACAGGGTATAGTGCACCTGAAGATCATCACAGGAAAATACATCTGACGTTTGGGTTCAGTAGTCTGGATTTATTATGGCTTTGAAAAGGTCCAACATTAGATCTCCAGGAAGATCAAAGCCAAGGACATATCAATGCCAGGCCAACTCATCATGACATTGCCAGGAGTACAGATGCTTTCCTGCTTCCCCAACAAAACAGAGCAGCAGAAATGATTGTATTCCTACCTTCTTAAACAGTGATAACTTGGAGAGACCATCCCTCCACTTAACCTTTAAGCCATTGTATAGAACATGCTAATATGCATATAATATATATATATCTATAAACATTTCGAAAACAGTATCTTTGGCCCTAGCTATAGACATGTGATTCTCCTTACAAATACTGGCAAGGTAATGCCTAATATGTTTTTATAGATGTGCTGAGCAACATTTGTTCTCACCAATTTGCTTTTACAGAGCAGGCACGCCTGAATCAGAAGCTGCCTGAATTGGACTAAATTCAAGCAGATCCCACTGGGCTAATTTAGGTCACTATTGGTAAAAATTTAGATTGTGCACTCATCTCAGGATTGAATAATGTGATATGGCATGCTTTTATTGGGAAAGATAACTTTGTGATTATAACAGAAAATGATCACAATAATAAGAAATGCTATTGATCACTGTAAAACATACTGTGTTGGACAAGTATTATACAAGCAGAAGAAGTGAAATGAAATGTAATTAATTCCAACAATGCTGTTTGTCCTTAGTTAAACGATACCTCACAAAATCTTCCCAATACTGCAGTGTTAAAGTTATAAAATTCTAGTATTCAAAGTCTGAGGACTTTGTTCTCTAATCGGTTGCATTATCCTCTCTCACAACACTTTATTTATCTCCACCTCCCTTTAAAGCCTGGCTTACTGAATACTGTAAGTGAATGTGACATGACATGTGTCACGGGGATAGATCCCCTTATGTGTGACCGTACCTGACCCAGATGGGTTTTGTTATCTTGTAACCTTTGCTAATACCCTGTACAGACTATTGCTGACACGAGTACCAAAAAGGTGACACTAAAACATCAATAAACACCTCCTCCCCCTGGCTAACCTTGGCGTGATCTAAGTGGATACCTCCGTTTGTTAGCACTCCAATTTGACATTGCATACTGCATTTACTCATTGCTCATATTCAGTCTTGTTAGGCAAGAATTCAACTTTCAAAACATTTCAAAAATACAATTATAGTTCGAGTTACAACATGGTCTTTGCTGACAGTGAACATATTTGTCATATCCAAAAATCTTCTGTATATGCGGTTAGTGGGCATATTTCCAATATTCTTGTGTATTGACTACAGTTGAACATTTAAAACTGGGTTTGAAAAAGGAACTAAATAATATCCTGGAAATTAAAAGGATTCAGGGTTATGAGCTGAAGAGCTAGATGTGTCGAAGGATCATTTAAGAAATTGGATGGATAGACTTGATGGACCAATGCTTCTACTCTCAGAAACTGTTGCTATTCAATACACATTACACTTGCATCCTCAATATATTTTCATGGATCACAATTTGGGTATTATTACCATGAGGCAACTCCTGAACCACTTGCAAAACTAATTTAAAGTTCACTGTGGATTCCGTTCTGACTCTATAACTTATGGTGAAACAAAGTGTGAGCCATCAGATGAACCCCCAGAATTTCCTAAATGGAATATTCACAATTTTTAACCTTTATTTAAAACAATTTACCAGAAGAATCAACCGTTTAAGTTCTCCTCCTGATAAATCAGGCTTCCGCTCCAGAATAGACTAGTTATGTTTTGCAACCATCTCAAGCCTTGGCATGCTACAGACATCACAGGGCAGTAACACGTGTTGCAGAATATCCTGGAAAGTGTAGCTTGCAGGGCTTTTTCAAAGCTTTTCTGTGGCAACATTTTTTGTTCTTGCAGCACTTTTCTATTCATTGATGGCCAGTTGTCAGAAACTGTGGCTGTGGCTACAAGACACTTGTGTACAATGGAAATGGATTATGAGAAATCACATTGCTTTTAAAACTGTGTTGATTCACGTTTTCCACACTTCATGATATTTTACATATGGCAGCTATGTGCAATGGAAGTAATGTTGCAATGTTTAATCATATCTCCCTCCACCCCCCCACACACAACACACACACACCTCTCCCAAGAAATGTTTTTTTGAAGGCAAACCCCNAAATATTCATTCCACATGTTCAGGTCCTGGATCAAATTTGAATGTCTTTCTAAACCCATGCTTTTCAGGTCATATTGATATTTGCTTGTTTAAATTTCTGTACGCTGTGGCATTCAAAATATGCAAATCATTTTAAACTGGCCACTCAATGGACCACAGTGGTGATTTCTGGTCCTGTGCATTTCTATGTTCACCTTCTATTGAAGAAGTGAGACTAATGGCAATAACTGGCTGACCTGTTTGCACTATGCTAGCCATTGCTTCACAATCATTATGTATAGCTGTGACTGGGTGAAAGAATACGAGGTTTCTGAAAGCAACAAGTCGGAAAAATGCCACAAATTCTCCACATTGCAATACAAATTTGCAGATAAGTTATGGAGAAAAGAAATCCTTTTGAAAACAAGGTCCGAAGTCCCTCTCTGTAAATGAGTTAGCTTGATCTAATGAAGGAAAAGTATTTCAAATTTTCAATTTAACTGTGGGACTAGACAAGATATTATTGTCTGTCTCTCATTTATTTTGCAGATGGTTTCATAGTTACCCTGTGTTCTGTATCTTTCCAATTTACAATGCTTTTAGTTTGGGATATATTTTTAACTCTATGATGGGAGAGGGAAAGGTAAAGGGATAAATAAGTCTTATGTCTGGAGGTCTAGTTGGGGAAGTTCAAGAAATGTTGGGAGATGCGACTACGGAGGCATTATATGTTTGCAAATGTTTACGTGTACCTCCCGCTTTCATTGCATTTTTTTCCCTGTAGAAAAAAATTACATAAAATTAAACTCATTTAAATATTAAATATAAATAATCTGAGCAGACAGTACTTTTGTTTAGCATCTTATCTGCCTTGTTGTGTCAGCCTACCTACATAAGGACAAAGTCCTGGC